CCTATGATGCTACTTGGCCTGCTGTGTTCATCCAGCTCTGCACCTTGTTGCCTCGAAGGTTGCTCTGTGTTAAGTTTTAAAGAAACTGATCTTTTACTTTCAGAGAAAAGGCCGTCCACCAGGACATCTGATTTCATTTGACCGTACGACCTCCAGTGCTGCAGTGTGAGTACAGCTCCTCTAGACTGTGTGTAACCTGTGACATTGTTAATGTTGGAGGGTCTTAAACTGCTGTCCTCAGCTGAAGACTTTTCCATCAGGTTAAGTATCCTTGGGAATGATTGTAAACTGCTGTAATGTTGTCACAGTTCTTTTTCTCAGCTTTACTTTGTAACAGTTACTCCATCACTGCAAGAGAAAAGTGGCATTAACCGGAAGGGGTTCCAAGGAGCTAGTTGCACATGGTCACAGAGTTAGGCTTTCAGAGTCAGTGAAGGCTTTGAGTGAAGTTCTAATATTCTGCCACAAATGCGTTGTGTACAGTGTTAACATGTCAGGTTTAAGAGAACCGTTCACTGGCAGCCACGCTTCAGAGCTTGTGTTTGGAGCTGGCTGATGTCTCCTTATACCTGCTGTTTGAGAGATTTTTCTGTCAGGACAGGTATCAGTTTGTGAATACTTCTGCTTGACTCTGGAAGGCATTAAGGTAACATCCAGTCTTGTGTTGGAGGGGTGGAATTTGATGTGAGACAGGACCAGTATTGTTTAATTGCATGAATGCTTTAAAACATAACGGTGCTCTTTCCAGAAAGGCTGTAATTTCTCTCTCTCTCTCTCTCTCTCTCTCTCTCTCTCTCTCTGTTTCTCAGCTCAAAGGTGAAATACACTGAGCCAATCAAACGGGAGGGACCTAAGGTAATGCTTTCAGCTTATGTCATACTTTGTGACTGGAAGTTGAGATAGAGTCATAGAGTCATACAGCACAGAAGCAGACCCCTCAGAACAACCAGTCCATGCCAGCCATAATCCCAGACTGAACTAGTCCCAACTGCCTGCGCTTTGCCTACATCCCTCCAAACATTTCCTATTCATGTACTTATCCAAATGTCTTTTAAACGTGTTGCTGTTCATTGCAAATAAATGTCTCAAAAATCCTTTTGCCCAATCAAAGTTGTCAACTCTTGTTGGCTTGTTTAGGCAATTTTAGCGGTCATTGCTATTGTGAATATAAGTGGTGGGTGCCAGTGGCTGAGGAAGGCTTCTCAGCAGTACCCACTATTGTCCTTGGCTAATGCCTGCATTCATGTTTAACAGGATTTAACGAAAGCAGATCTGGAGGTCAACCCTTACTAGGGTTGGAGGCTTGTTACAACAGTGTAGTTTATCTGTGTTTGGGGTAGTCAACTGAGTAAACAGGGAATTAATGCAAAGAATTACTGCCCTATAATGGCATGGTACAACACTGAGAAATGCGTTCATTCACTGTGCTATTACCCAGAGTGCAGACACTCTGGAGAGCTGTAGTAAACTCATTTGGTCAACACTAAACCACCCATGTGCCCCAGATGCTTCATTTTTCTCTTGTATGGGAGCTGGCACAGACTGGTCACCTTACTGTCAACAGAAATAGTCCCAGGAGACTTGTGTTGTCATGCCCACAGCTCCACTGTGTGACATGGAGCAGGCAACTCATGCTGAATCGTAGGATCCCTGTCACAGTGTAGCAGGCCATTCGGCCCATCGAATCCACATCAACCCACCGAAGAGCATCCCACCCTGGAATCGTTCTGTTGGAAGTGAAAGATTGTCATACAAAGGGCTGTGTTGTGGGACTGAAGGCAACAACAGATTTTTTAAAAGTGGTGATTGTTCTTGAGTTCTATATTTTCACAGTGGGACCCGTCCAGGCTGACTGCCTCAACCACTTTTGTGCTTGGATCACGTGCTAACAAGTAAGTTACAGGTTTGCATGTTTTGCACAGCCTCGCTAAGAATTGCTTTCTTTTTATCACCGACTGTGTTTAGAGGGACACCTGTTTTGCACAATAATAAAATCTAAACTGAACAGAAAAGCTCGGCAGAATGAGAGTGATCTTATTTATTCAAGATCCTGAGAGCAGTTGACAGGGTGGATGCTGCAAATAAGTTCCCCACCTAGTGGAAGATCCAGTTGAGAAGAAGTTTTTTTTCTGTGAATGTTGAGTGTCTTTGGAATGCTATCCCCAAGAGAGCACTGGGCATGGATCATTGAATACTTTTAAGGCACAGATAGATCAGTTCTGATGAATAAGGGAGTCAAAAGCTGTTGACAGTTTTACAGAAATGTGGAGTTGAGGCCACAACAAGAACAGGCTTGATCTTATCAATTGGCAGAGCAAGCATGAGGGGCTGAATGGCCTGTTTCTCATAATTCATAAGTTCTTTACTATTGCCTCCCTCTTCATTCCAATGAGCTGGGTATCTCAGCAGCAGCGCCCCATATTCTGATGTCCTGTGCTCGAGTCGCTCACTGTAATTTCTTAGCACAAAAAGAAGCATTGCAGAACACCTGAATGTTTGGCTGTATTTTACCTTTGATGTCTTCTGCTCTCAAAGTGAGGAATCTGACTTGGGGATTCGAATATCATTATTAATGTTTCCAATTAAGCACTCCCCAGAACAGGTACAAAATTGTGTTAGATAGAGTAAAGCTGTTTCTGTACTGTCCCCCATCAAACATTCTCAGGACAGCGTGGGGGTAGATACAGAGTGAAACTCGCTGTACTCTTTGCACTAAGCATCTGTCAGCATAAAAAGACCAAGAGTGGTCCTTAGTCCTGTTTTGATGCATTGGTGAACAATTGGTGAGAGCCCGTTTTGATTCCAGGGGTACCTCTGATTTTCTTTGTGTGGAACAGCTTTCTTGTAATGACCAATGTATGGGTGGGATTCTGCTTAACTTCATTATCCTTGTAATAAGCGCAATAAAAAAAGACTGCACCCTTCAAATGACAGGTACAACCTTTTGAAAAGGGGTACTGCAGAAATGAAAATCTTCCCCTGTACCAGCAAGTTGTGTATGATAGTTTTAGCCTTACTGGAAGTGTCTTTGTTAATGTGTGATCTGGATCTTTGTGAAAAACAGCTATGAGTAAAAGGAGGGAAAATTCCCAGTGCTCTCCGTTCTCTCATACTACTTTGTTGAAGAAATTACACTGGAACCTGAAGTATTAGCCGTAGTTTTCTGTAACATTTCTGGGTTGTTCTGTGACCTCCTCTCGTCGAGCTCCATAAAAAACTGGATCCTAAATATATTTAAGACTGGCATAACTAGATATGAACCACTTCAAAACTTTTCTGTTCCTGTGAGTTAACTCTATATGTTCTTTCTTGATCAGAGCCTTGGGAATGGGTGGTACCCGTGGAAGAATCTATATCAAACATCCTGAACTATTCAAGGTACGAGTGAGTGGAGTTTGGACTCTGGGAGCAGTCTTGCTCTATAATTTCAATAATCAGCACCCAATATTATTAACAGCCAAAGGAAGATTTGCTGAGTATTGTATAGTTTTGTTTCTCTTCCCCAGTGTTTATGAAGTGAAGCAGTATTTTATCATGTGGCCAAACCTCTACATAGTTAATGGCTGAGAATTTCCATCCTTAATTCTTGCAGTGTCCTCATTGGACAGATGGTGGTGCAGTGGTAATGTCACTGGACAAGTAATCCAGAGGCCCAGGCTAAAATCTGGGACGTGGGTTGGAATCTTCATAAATAAAGTAATATTTTAAAAAAAAATTCTGGAATTAAAAGCTAATCTAAGTAATGGTCAAAAGTCACACAACACCAGGTTATAGTCGAACATGTTTATTTGAAATCACAATCACCTGATGAAGGAGTAGCACTCCAAAAGTGTGAGATTTTGGATGAATCTCTTGGACTATAAGCCAGTGTTGTGTGACTTCTGACTTTGTCAATCCCAGTCCAATACCGGCACTTCTACATCATACCTAAGTAACTTAACGAAGGTCTGTAGCTCAGGTTGTGGTTGGAGTTGTTGGTTGGTTCGTGAGCTGACTGGTTTTCATGCAAATGATTGTTTCATGGTCACCATTACATAGGTATTGAGTTGTTCGTTGGTTTGCCAAGCTGATTGGTTTTCATGCAAACGTTTCGTCTCCCTTCTAGGTGACATCACCAGTGCTGTGTAGCCTCCGTTGAAGCGCTGTTGTGCTGTCCCACTCTGAATTCATATGGTCTGGTCTGTCATGGTGGACAGTCTTGTTTCCGGTCTTGTACCGTAGTGGGATGTAGATGGCATCTATTTTAACATGTTTGTTAATTGCATCAGTGGTTGAAAACCAGGCCTCCAGGAATTCTCGTGCTTATCTTTGTCTCGCTTGTCCTAGTACTGTAACTTTGTCCCAGTTAAATTGATGTCCTTCTATGTTGGAGTGTATTGGAACAAGGGATAGTTGATTGTTCCATTTTGCTGAGAGTTGGTGTTCATGTATCCTGGTGGCGGGTTTCCTGCCCATCTGTCCTGTGTAGTGTTTCTCTCAGTTGCTGCATGGTATTTTGTTATCACATTTGTCCTACTGAACAGGAGGCCTGGTTTTCGCCCACCGATGCAATCAACAAACATGTTGAAATAGACCCCATCTACATCCCATTACAGTACAAAACTGGAAACAAGACTGCCCCCCCATGACAGACCAGACCATTTAAATTCAGAGCAGGACAGAACAACAGCGCTTCACCGGAGGCTACACAGCACTGATGATGTCACCTAGCTAAGGTATACACATCGAGCTGTATCTCTAGAGATTTCCTATATATGTCCTACTCAATGCTTTCTCCTTTACCGCAAATTAGTCAGCTTGATTATCTTTGGAGGAATATTTGATGAGCCACATATAAACACCAATTTCTGTTTTGAAATATGAGCTACAGAACAAGAAAAAGATACTGTTTAAAGCCAAGGAAGCTGCGTAATGTATTCAGAGTTTTAAAAAAGTTACTGGAAACATAGACAGTGTTGCCTTATTCAAGCAGTGGGGAGAACATGAGATACATTCGTCATGTGTGTTTGCATGTTCTCGGAAATTCTGCCCAGAGACGGACATTTGATTAATTTTCAGCTAACCAATTGTGGCGGTTCAGGAGATCTTCGCATAGAAACAATCTTTAATTGGTTCCTGGGCAGGTGGTTACAGCCTTGTATGTGAACAATTCACTAAGAGCACTGAAATCGCTCTCCCCTTCCTCTGTGGAGAAGTAACAGAGACACTCCTGGTAGCCGTTCTTTTTCAGCATCCCCTTGTAAATTGATCTTTGTGAATTCCCTTCCTGGTAGAAAAAGGGGTAGAGGCACATTCAGAGGCACTGAAAGGGAAAATCTTCAACCACTGATAGAAAGACTGTGCATCAGCAAATCCATAACCTTGGATCATTACTAAAGATTTGGAAGGAGTCAAAAGAAAGCCACTGACGTCTGGAATGTGAACTGGTGCCAGAACTGTGCTTCTCTGACTTTTTATTCCCCTTCCCCACCTGTAATATTTGTATGTTGTCTTGTCTCTTTGGGTCTCCGCCTGTGTACAGAACTAGAGTAACTGGAGTTTACCAGTGGTATTAGTTCCTAAATCAAATGTGTTGACTAAATTATTCTTAGATGCCGAAAAGTGAATGCCCTAACACAGATATTCCTACCCATATTCTTGGTTAGAAGATTGATTCAATACAGTTGACAATGCCTTATTTCTTTCTAAGATTGATCTATTGAAAGGGAACTGGCAAGTACCATTCCCATCAAAAGCTAAAGAAAGTGAAAGTTACAACAAGTGGATTATATCAATTTCAAGTGATGTCATTTGAGTTTTAATAATGCCCAGCTACAATGCAAAGCCTTATGAATCAAGTCATAGTTCAAGTGCCAAACTGTAGTTTATTCAGACAATGTTCGAACATAGAGTAGTAGCAGGGAAGAACTTGTAAAGTACGAGAAGATCTCTATAGGAGATTTTGATCCAGTGACACTAAAGGAGTGGCAATACTTTTCCAGTTCAGGATGGTGAGTGGCTTGGAAGTGAACATGTGGCTGCAACTTGCAGTGTACTTTATACAAGTTCTTCCATATATTTGCTGCCTTCCCTTTTCCAGGTGGTAGAGGTTGAGAGTTTGGAAGGTGTTGTCTAGGAAGCCTTGATGAATTTCTGTGTTGCCTGTTGTATTTGGTACATACTGCTGCTACTGAACGTTGGTGATGAAGAAAGTGAATGTTTGTGGATTTGGTGCCAATCAAGCAGGCTGCTTTTTTTTCTGTGAAGGGTCAAACTTCTTGAGTGATGTCAGACTGCACTCATCCAGGCAACTGGGGGGTATGCCAATGCACTCCTAACCTCTACCTTGTAGATGTTGGACAGGCTTTAGGGTGTTGGGAGGTGAGTATTCCTAGCCTGTAACCTGCTCTTGAAGCCGCAGTATTTATGTGCTAGTCCAGTTTATTTTCTGGTCAATGGAGAGCGCCCCAAAGATATTTGTCTCTTGCTAGTCTATTCTTAATCTGTTTGTTCTTTTGAATTTCTCCGACCTCCCTCTTCACACTTTACTTTGTGGGCTTGGTGTCTTTTTATCCTATGTTGATGTACAGGTGATTGGTAGGCGTGATGATAGGTTTTCACATGCGTTATTAACTGTTTTTACAGTACTCTGCCGACTCCCAAGACAAACACTGGCTCGGGGAGAAGCATCACATGCCAGCCACAGGGGGTAAGATGGTGAGTACTGATTGTCAGTTCAGAAAGCTTAAATTTATCTCCAGCACAAAATTCCACCTCTGTCTTCATGCCTAGCCTGTGACCATGTGCCTCAGTATTTTTTGTTTGCAGGTGCATCTATGACTGCCATATGCTTGAATGTGTGTCTCTCTTTGTGGTTCTGTCTGTCTGTCTGTATTGCCAGGATGCACGTGTGTTTGCAGTGGCATCTATGGTTGCCTGTCTGTCTGAGCGTGTGTATGACTGTTTCTAAAAATGTTGTTCATGTTTTGCCTATCTCTGGATATGTCTGTTTGGTTTTGCTTGCAGGCACAGCTGTATGTGTATATCTTTTTGTATTTGCCTGCACTGACCGCTTGCTCCCTTGCAATGTTATTTCTGCTCTTTCTGTGAGCCTCTGCCAAGTACCTGCTTCTGCCAGTGCTGCTGGGTAAAGTTTGTTTGGGGGTTGCTGACTGAGTTGACAAGATGTTCGCTCTTCTTGCTCCCTTGCAATGGGAAGTTGCTTTTCCATTTCTTACTGTGTGTGTGGAGGCCAGTGAATGGGGGGCCTTAGCAGCGTCTCTGTATGTTCTTAGCTTGTGTAAGAGCAGTCTCGTGAAGCAAATGGGGCCTTGTGTGAACTGAAAGTTGTGCACCTTGTATGTTCTGTGCTTGCCAAAGTTTAACAACAAACCTCAAAATATGGTTTGTCACTGGTGAACATATAAGTTGGTCCTTGAACATATAAGTTGCTCCTTAAACGATAGAAACAAATGCTGTATGACTCTTAGGCTGCCATTAGATGCAACCAACTAGACGTAGTTAAGTACCACACACAAGGCCAAACAGACAGTAAGATTCTGGAACTGCAAAATAATAGCAAAATAGTTTTTAAGGGTTTATACCCCATACGGTATTTATTAATGGTTGGTCAGCATTAGTTCTTGAAGATGAACTTTATATGAGGGCTCATGCAGTTTGGATGACTGGCTGCAACCAAAGCTGCTTGTTCCAAGAAGCTTCCTTCAGCTACTAACTTTTTATAAGCAAGTAAATCCATGAAGAACTGGAGCACTGTTTTACACCTGGAAGCCATTATAGTGAGGAACTTGGAAGAACCCAGCAAGTCAAGATGCATCTGGAGGAAAGGAGCAGTCAACGTTTCAGGTATTACCCTTCTTCAGGACCTTCTGCAGTCCTAAAGAAGGGTAATACCCAAAACGTTGACTGCTCCTTTCCTCCAGATGGTGTCTGGCCTGCTTGTTCTTCCAGCCGCCTGTTTGTTTACCTTGGGCTTCAGCATCTGCAGTAGGTTTGGCTCTAACACAGTGAGGAACTTGCTGCTTTCTCATCTGCACTGGCTTTATCACCTGCAGTGGAATTCTGAAATGCTTGAGTGTTCAGAGAGAACAGCATTGTCAGCCGACTAATCCACATTGACTAATGCTGCAGTAACTACTAATGATGTGAGTTCTGAATGAAGGTATTTGCTTTCCTGTAGCTCATGAGGACTGGAGTTCTATTGACTGTGCGTTGGTGAGATATCTGGCCCAATGTCTACCAATTGCAGTCATTTGTGAGTTTTACTGAGGAACAATGGCTTCTGATTTAAATCTAGTTTCCATGGTAACAAAGATACCTTAATAATTATTAAATAAGAAACAAAATTCCCGTTATCTGGACTTCATAGAACATTACAGCGCAGTACAAGCCCTTCGACTCTCGATGTTGTGCCGACCTGTGAAACCAATCTGAAGCCCATCTAACCTACATTATTCCATTATCATCCATATGTTTATCCAATGACCATTTAAATGCTCTTAAAGTTGGCGAGTCTACTACTGTTGCAGGCAGGGCATTCCACGCCCTTACTACTCTCTGAGTAAAGAACCTACCTCTGACATCTGTCCTATATCTATCACCCCTCAATTTAAAGCTATGTCCCCTCGTGCTAGCCATCACCATCCGAGGAAAAAGGCTCTTCCTGTCCACCCTATCTAATCCTCTGATCATCTTGTACGTCTCTATTAAGTCACCTCTTAACCTTCTTCTCTCTAACGAAAACAGCCTCAAGTCCCTCAGCCTTTCCTCATAAGACCTTCCCTCCATACCAGGCAACATCCTGGTGAATCTCCTCTGCACCCTTTCCAATGCTTCCACATCCTTCCTATAATGCGGCGACCAGAACTGTACGCAATACTCCAAGTGCGGCCGCACCAGAGTTTTGTACAGCTGCAACATGACCTCATGGCTCCGAAACTCAATCCCTCTACCAATAAAACCTAACACACCGTACGCCTTCTTAACAACCCTATCGACCTGGGTGGCAACTTTCAGGGATCTATGCACATGGACACCGAGATCTCTCTGCTCATCCACACTACCAAGAATCTTACCATTAGCCCAGTACTCTGCATTCCTGTTACTTCTTCCAAAGTGAATCACCTCACACTTTTCCGCATTAAACTCCATTTGCCACACCTCAACCCAGCTCTGCAGCTTATCTATGTCCCTCTGTAACCTGCAACATCCTTCCGCACTATCCACAACTCCACCGACTTTAGTGTCATCCGCAAATTTACTAACCCATCCTTCTACGCCCTCATCCAGGTCATTTATAAAAATGACAAACAGCAATGGCCCCAAAACAGATCCTTGCGGTACACCACTAGTAACTGAACTCCAGGATGAACATTTCCCATCAACCACCGCCCTCTGTCTTCTTACAGTTAGCCAATTTCTGATCCAAACTGCTAAATCACCCTCAATCCCATGCCTCTGTATTTTCTGCAATAGCCTACCGTGGGGAACCTTATCAAACGCTTTACTGAAATCCATATACACCACATCAACCGCTTTACCCTCATCCACCTGTTTGGTCACCTTCTCAAAGAACTCAATAAGGTTTGTGAGGCACGACCTACCCTTCACAAAACTGTGTTAACTATCCCTAATCAAATTATTCCTTTCTAGATGATTATAAATCCTCTCTCTTATAATCCTTTCCAACACTTTACCCACAACCGAAGTAAGGCTCACTGGTCTATAATTACCAGGGTTGTCTCTACTCCCCTTCTTGAGCAAGGGTACAACATTCGCTATCCTCCAGTCTTCTGGCACTATTCCTGTAGACAATGGCGACATAAAGATCAAAGCCAAAGGCTCTGCAATCTCCTCCCTAGCTTCCCAGAGAATCCTAGGGTAAATCCCATCCGGCCCAGGGGACTTATCTATTTTCACATTTTCCAGAATTGCTAACACCACCTCCTTATGAACCTCAATCCCGTCTAGTCTTAATAGCCTGTATCTCAGTATTCTCCTCGACAACATTTGTCTTTTTCTTGTGTGAATTCTGACGAAAAATATTCATTTAGTGCCTCTCCTATCTCTTCAGACTCCACGCACAACTTCCCACTACTGTCCTTGACCGGCCCCAATCTTACTCTAGTCATTCTTTTATTGCTGACATACCTATAGAAAGCTTTAGGGTTTTCCTTAATCCTACCTGCTAAAGACTTCTCATGTCCCCTCCTGGCTCTTCTTAGCTCTTTCTTTAGGTCCTTCCTGGCTACCTTGTAACTCTCAAGCGCCCTAACTGAGCCTTCTCGCCTCATCTCTACATAAGCCTCCGTCTTCCTCTTGACAAGAGATTCAACTTCCTTAGTAAACCACGGTTCCCTTGCTCGACCACTTCCTCCCTGCCTGACAGTTACATACTTATCAAGGACACGCAGTAGCTGTTCCTTGAACAAGCTCCACATTTCAATTGTGCCCAGCCCCTGCAGTTTCCTTCTCCATCCTATGCATCCTAAATCTTGCCTAATCGCCTCATAATTGCCTTTCAAGACTCACTCAACCACCAACTTGCCTCTGGCTTTTAAATTCAACCGTTTTTCGAGAAAATTGAGATTGATCTGATCTCATGAGTGTCTTTAACATCATTTCTTTTTTGCAGTCCTGATTTACTTGGAATTTTTTGTTTCATTAGTGCCCAACACTTGTGCATATTTAGTCTCCTCGGACACCTGATGCGGTTCCCTCATCCTCTCACTGACTCAGCACCTGTGTTCAGTGTAGGGGGGAGCACAGACTGCACCTGAGCCTCGTTGGGACAGTTTGGCCTCACTAAAGGGGGAGCCTGTCCAGTGTGTTTGAGGTGTAGTGATGGTGGGGACTGAGCAGAGATGTGAGCTCTGACTGAAATATTATTTATGTTTCAGGCTTATCTGCTGATAGAAGATGACATTCGAGAGCTTGCAGCGAGTGACGACTACAGGTAAGAGCTTGGGGAAAGTGAAAACAGATCAGTTCAAGTTTGTTTCAAGGGAGGCTGTGAACAGAAACTGGGAGGGTAAAAATAAGTTTGATGGAATCAGTCATTGTCAGTAATGAGTAAACAGTTTAGACCATGTCAGGAACCAAATGATGCAGTAAGTCGAATAGTGTGTGGGTGTGAGAAAACAGGTATTTATAGATTGGATGTCATATTTCGTGGTGCAGCCTTGTGCAACAGCAAGAAGAGGAAATGGAGTTGATGATGACAGCTACGAAGGGAGGAGGCAGGTACATATGAGTGGATTGACTTCTGTGTGGGAGGTCATTGTCTTTACTCGGGCTGAATTAGACAGTTCACCACCAGTGGATAATCATGATAGAGTTTCTAGTCAAATGATTAAGGCAATATGAAGAGGGAGGGCCAGAGGCCAGATGGTCCACGTAGGTCTTGTTCAAAGAAATTGTCGAAGGGTCAGCTCCAAAAATCTGCCACATGGGCAACAATGTAGGATATGAGCAGCATGGAGCATGTTCATGAATACAAAAGTAAACATTGAGTGGAAGAGCCACATTTATCAGTTGAATGCAGAAGTGATGTGTCTGTGTCCCAGTGTATGCACAATGCAACTTGCATAACCTAAAACTGGCATCATGTCAGTGCATTATCCAGTGATGACACTTGGTGATTACATGCAGTGTAGACAGAACGCCTGCCTGCCCGTAGAGGCACACGGGAGCTGTGAGTGCATGTCTGGCCACACTCCAACCATATTCCAAGTGTGATACACCACGCCTGTGGGTCCCAGGAACATGGACAGTATCCGCATGTCCCAGTACAGAGATGCCAACAATGTATGAAAATCTCTCTTTATGTATGTTGCAGTATAATCACATGGAGATTGTGTGTTGCAGTGCCATCTGCCACACCCTGGCACCAGCATGTTGCAGTACAGCTCCTTCTCCCCCCCCCCACACCCCAGGGCCAGTGTGTCGCAGTGCAGACTCCCCCACCCCTGGCGTGTGGCAGTGCAATCCAAACCCCCACCCCCGCGCCGGCATGTCGCATTGCAGTCTCCCTCACCCTGCATGTCCCAGTGCAGTTTCCACGCCGCCCACCCAACATTGGAGATCGCAGTGCAGTCCCCCACCCCGTGCCTGTGTTTCACAGTGCCGTCCCTCTGTGCCTGCGTTTCAGAATTCTGTCCATCTGTGAAGAACCGTCTCTCTGAGCCCGCGTGTCCCATTGCAGTTCCTCAGCGCCAATAAGTTGCTGTGCGGTCTCTCTGTGCGTCAGAGTCACAGTGCGGTACCCCCGTGCCCACATGTTTCAGTGCTGTCTCCCCGTGTCCGTGATTCGCAGTGCTGTCTCCCCACCGCACCCCCCCCCCCCCCCCCCCCCCCCCCCCCCCCCGCCCGTGCATCGCAGCGCTGCCCTCCCACACAAAATGTCCCCTCTCAGTGCACACATTTCAGAATTCTCTCCGTCTGTGCAATATTGTCTCTCTGTGCCAGCTTGTCCCATCCCAGTGACTCCACGCCAAAATGTTGCTTTGCAGTTCCTCTGTGCGTCAGACTCACAGTGCTGACCGCCTGCGCCTGCATCTTTCGGTGCTGTCCCCCTGCGCCAAGTCAGGAGTGTGATGGAATGCGCCCCACTTGCCTGGATGGGTACAGCTCCAACAAAAAAAACACTCCAGAAGCTTGACACCATCCAGGGTAAAACCTGGACAGGTTCCCATCCACCACCTTCAACATTAATTTCTTCCTCCACTACCGACATTCTCACACTGCTGCTACTACCATCTACAAGATGCGCTGCAGTGCTCCTTCAACAGCAGTTTCTAAATCCACAGACTCTACCAGCTTAGAAGGACAAGGGCAGTAGATGCCTAAGAACACCATCACTTGCACATTCCCCTCCAAGTCGTACGCCATCCTTACTTGGAACTGTCTCCTCGTTTGTTCACTGTTGCTATGTCAGAATCCTAGGACTTCCTTCGTGGCAGTGCTGTGGATGTTCCTACACTCCCAGACTGCAATGGTTCAGAAGGCAGCTCATCACCACCTTCTCCAGGGCAATTAGGAATGAACACTAAATGCTGATCTAGTCATTGATGCCCGCATCCCATGAATGAATAACAACAAAGTACCTGTGTGTTCAATATTTTGGCATTTATCTGTTAATCTCCCAAGTGTGGGTGTGTGTGCGCGGGTGTATGAGAGCGTGTGCGCGCATTGGGGAAGTAGATCTGCCATGACATTAGGCACGTAAATGAATTGAAGGCTGGTGGTAATGATTGGCTTTAATTTCCCAAGTTTGATTTTGAAGAATAAAAACAGAGATGCATTTATGACAGAATTTCCTTGCCTAGTGGGTTCTTGGATTTCCTTAAAGGAGAGAGTGCTAAGAAAGGTTATTGATGTGAAACATTTTCTGTTTCTCACCACAGATGCTCCCTGAATTACTGATGTGTGCAGCATATTCTGGTTTATATTTCAGCCTCTGCAGTATTTTGCCGATGTATGCAGGAGATGGCTAGTTCTGAGCAGTGATTTAGTCCAAGTACTTGAACACTTGGTTTGGTGTAACCACTGTATCAGAAGTTTACATTTGCAATGCAGAAGAGCAAAGATCAGTTGAAATTCAATACAGCCATAGAGTTGTACAGCACAGAAACAGACTGTTCGGTCCAACTCATCCATGCTGATCAGATGTCCTAAATTAATCTAGTCCCATTTTGCCCATATCCCTCTTAAACGCTTCCTGTTCATGTACCCATTCAGATGCCTTTTAAATGTTGTAATTGTACCAGCCTCCACCACCTCCTCTGGCATCTCATTCCATACACCCATCACCTTCTGTGTGAAAAAGTTGCCCCTTAGGTCCCCTTTAAATCTTTCCCCTTTCCCCTTTCACTTTAAACCTATGCCCTCTAGTTTTGGACTGCCCTACCCTGGGGAAAAGGGCCTTGTCTATTCACCCTATCCTCGCCCCTCATGATTTTATAAACCTCTATAAGGTCACCCCTCAGCCTCCAAACACTCCATGGAAAATAGCCTCAGGCTCTTCCCTATAGCTCAAACTCTCCAAACTCAGCAACATCCTAGTAAATCTTTTCTGCATCCTTTCAAGCTTAATAACATCTTACTTCTATAGCCGGAAAATAGCATTGAATGCAGTATTCCAGAAGTGACCTAACCAATGTCCTGTAGAGGTGCAACATGACATCCCAATTCCTATACTCAATGCACTGACCAATAAAGGCAAGCGTAACAAACGCCTTTTTCACTATCCTGTCTACCTGTGACTCCACCTTCAGGCTACTGTGAACCTGCACTCCAAGGTCTCTTTGTTTGGCACTCTCCCCAGGGCCCTGCCATTATGTGTACAAGTCCTGCCCTGATTTGCCTTTCCAAGATGCAGCTCCTTATATTTATCTAATTTAAACTCCATCTGCTGCTCATCGGCCCACCTGATCGAGGTCTCTTTGTTCTCTCAGTTAACCTCCTTCACTGTCCACTACACCATCAATTTTGGTGTTGTCTGCCTCCCTACTAACCATTCCCCCTGTATTCACATCCAAATCATTTATATATTCTTATTTGGAAGAGGACTCACATGAACTGGATGAGAAGGAATCTAGACAGGAAAAAATGGGACTGAAGACTGAAAGAAAAAGCGGTAATGAAACATTAAATGATCTTTAAGGAAGAGATGTTGAAGTACAGGCTAGATACGTTCCAACAAAAGGGAAACGAAAAGCAGGTCTCCCTGGATGAGGAAGGAGATGAAGAATCAAGAGGAAGAGGGTGGATGATGTTTGTCAGGTGAATTGTTCATGTAACCAGGTCAAGTCCAACAGCTTGAGAGAGGAAGTGAAATGCAACATAGATGATAATATGAGAATAAATTGGTAGTTAACACAGAACAGAGCCTAAAAGTCATCCTTAGTATGTCATATTAAGGAGGTGGCAGGCAGTAGGGTAATCCTATTTGGTGGGGGGGAAAGAGTTTGATATATGCCTAGAGGCACTGGCCTCCGAGTACTAATGATATTCTGTACCAGTCCTTGCTGCAAAAAAATGGCACAATTAGAGATGGTGGAAGTAATGGACAGGGTGAAAGTTGCACCAGTTGTAGAACTGGAAAACCTGGCCAGACTTAGAGTCTCCTGGCTCAGATGCTTGCCTTTTTTGGTCAGTGCATTGAGCATAGGACTTGAGATGTCATGCTGGACATTGGTTAGGCCATTTTTGGAATACTGTGTGCAATTCTGGTCTCCCTGCTATAGGAAGCATGTTATGAAACTTGCAAGAGTTGCCAGGGTTGAAGGGGTTGAGCTGTAGGGAGAGGCTGAATAGACTGGAGCTATTTTCCCTGGAACATCGGAGACTGAGGGAATGACCTTGTAGAGGTTTATAAAATCGTGAGGGGCATGGTTAGGGTGAATAGACAAGGTCTTTTCCCCAGGGTAGGGGAGTCCAAAACCAGAGGCCCAAGGTTTAAGGTGAGAGGGGAAAGATTTAAAAGGGACCCAAGGGGCTACTTTTTCAAACAGAGGGTGGTGCGTATATGGAATGAGTTGCCAGAGGAAGTGGTGGAGGCTGGTACAATTACAACATTTAAAAGGCATCTGGATGGGTATATGAATAGGGCGGGTTTAGAGGGATATGGGCCAAATGCTGGCAAATGGGACTGGATTAATTTAAGATATCTGATCAGCATGGACAAGTTGGAACAAAGGGTCTATTTCTGTGTTGTATATCTCTAGGACTCTATGACCCTATTTGTTTCACAGATTGCTAAAGGAAGTGAGGGTGGTGACAATGGAGGGGCTTGTCATAATCTTCCAATTTCCACTGGATATGAGGAGGTTTCAGTGGATTTGAAAATAGCATACTTAACATCCTTGTTTAATAAAAGGTGTAAGCATATTCCTGGCAATGGCAGAACAATTGGTTTAACGTCGGTTATAGTTCAGCTTTTAGAAATACTAACCAGCAATAAATTCAACAGCAGCTTGGAGAGAATCGAGTTCAGTGGGGAACACCAGCACAGATTTGAGCAAGATAGGTAGTGCTTGTCTAATCGAAATGATTTTTTGAAGTGAAGGTTAATGAAAGGAATTAATTGTCCATATGAAGAAAGTGTTTTGACAAAGTTCCACATAAAAGGTTGGTTAACAAAATGGAGACTTGTGGAATAGGTGGATCAGTGTCAACACGAATAGAATGTTTGCTTAAGAATGAGGTAAATGGTAGATAGTGGTGTTCCATGTGGAACAGAGCTTAAGGTCACTATATTTTTACAGTGAAGTCCCACCATTTTTGGGGGTGTGTGTTCCTGAACAGTGTCACAGTCAGTGATTTTCACAAATGGGGAAGCTGGCTGACTGCAGATGTGTATTACACGGTACATTCAGCATGCACGTTTCCTCTTGGAATATAGTGAATGAGCAAATGTTGCAGTAAATATCGTGTGGATAAGCGAATTTGTGAAGGGCGGATGTACAAGTTGCATGACCTTCCCTGTATTCAAATGACTTGGATATTGAAAGGCAGTAACATTTCAAAGATTCAAAAGTTGGAGGTGTGGCGCACAATGCGAATGATGCTGATTGACTAGCAATGGCCAACGGGCCTGTACAAAGAGGAAGTCATTGGCAGATGGATGTTAATACAGCTGTGTGAGGTAATGCATTTTACCAGAAGAGACAGGGGGAAGGCAACATGGATTGAATGGCTCTGTTCAATGGAGCATGTGGGCTCAGAGAGACCCTGAGGGTTCATGTGTATTGGAATGTACAGGATGTATTGAGACCAACTGGCAAATGGGATCTTGGTCATCTTGAATTGACGTAACAAGGACACATTATGCTGTGTTCAGTTCTGACCATCAGACTTTAGGGTCCTTGAGAAGGTGCAGAGAAGATTTACCAGAACGGTTCCAATGATGAAAGATTTCAGCTACAGGGTTTGGTTGGAGTGGATGGGATATACTCCCCTTCAAGTAAGAGATTGAAGGGAGATTTGAGAGATTAGATGACGACATTTATTTCAGTCCCAGTTCATCTCTGCAGGAGTACCTCAGGGTAGTGTCCTCGGCCCAACCATCTTCAGCTGTTTCATCAAAGACCTTCCCTCCATCATAAGGTCAAAAGTGGGAATTTTCGTCGATGATTGCACAGTATTTGACCCATTAACAACTTCTCCAGTACTAGAGCAGTCTGTGTCCTTATGTGGCAAGGTATGGACAGCATTCGGGCTTCCACTGATCAGTGGCCAGTAACATTCATACCATGCAAATGCCAGGAAATAATCACCCTTAATGTGTCTCTCTTTAACATTCAATGGTATTACCATAATTGAATTCCCCACTATCAACATCCTGGTGGTTACTATTGACAAGAAACAGAACTGGGCCAGCCATAAAAATGCTTTGGCTACAAGAGCAGCTCAGAGGCTAGGAGTACAGTTGTGAGGAACTCGCCTTCTGACTCCTCAAAGCCTGTTGAGAAGGCACAAGTCAGGACTATAAAGGGATACTCTCCACTTCCCCAGATGATTGTAGCCCTAACATTCGAAAAGCTCAAGGATAAAGCAGCCAACTTGATTGACATCCATCCCCTTCGACATTAACTCCTTTCAACAGTGATGCACAGTGTCAGCAGTGTGTACCATTTACAAGATCCACTGCAATCACTCACCAAGGCTTCCTTGACAGCACCTTCCAAACCTGTGATCTCTGCCATCCAGAAAGACAAAGGGCAGCAGTTTTTTGGGAACACAACCAGTTGCAAGTTCCCTCCAAACCACTCATCATCCTGACTTGGAAATACATCACTGTTCCTCTTCCGTTATTGAGCCAAAACCTGGAATTTCATTTCTAACAGCACTGGATATGCCTGTACCACATAGATTGCAATAATTCAAAAGGCAGCTCAATACCACCTTCTCAAGGGCAGCTAGGAATGGGCCATAAATGCTTCCCCAGCCAGTGACACCCATATCCCAATAAAGAAAAAGAACAGACGTTACAGGTTTTGGGAAAGAGATGGAGCCGGGGTTGTGAGGAGGATATTTTGAACACGGTGAGTGGAATAAATCTGGAACTTAGTGCCAGCAAATGGAGAGGATGAGTGATTTCAAAATGACAGTGGAGTGGCATTTGTGAGAAATGAATGTACACGGCACCAGAATAGAGTGGGGCAGTGGATAGGCTGCATTGCTCGACAGACACTGGCATGGACTTAATGGGAGCAACGGATTCTTCTGGTGCTGTTCTGACTTTATTGGAGAACTGTATGTGACTCTGTCTTTCTATCAGGAACTGCATATGTCTCCACAGAAATTATGTGCCTTTCTGTCTGTCCGTGAAGCAGCTCTCACTTTGCCTGAGAATTGTATGTGATTTTATAGAAACTGTACGTGCATTGCTTTTCGTCCATTTGACCGGTGTCAGTCTGCCTCTGTCACCGTATTTTGAACTGTGTGGCTAACTGTAGAAACTTTGTATTTATGACTTCAATTTGAATTGTATGCACAACTCCCTTCTTCATATGGGACCTCTATCCCACCTCTGAAAGAATACTATCTCATGATCTTGCATTTGCGTGTCTCTTTACAGGGAACTTTGTCTCTCTCACTACACAGATTATATGTCTGTCTCCATATCTCCATGTGAACTGCTTCTCATGAAAGGAACTCTGTAGCACTCTGTGCTCAAGGCTCTGAGGAAACTGTGTGTCTGTCACATTCTCAAGAGGAGCAGATCCTTTCAGTCTAGATATAAAATCTGTGCACATATCACAGAGGAGCTCGGTCTATCTGTCTCACTGTAGGGGCTCTGTGTCTCTGTGTGTGTGTCTCACTGTAGGAGCTCTGCCTGTCTTGCTCTCACTTTAGGAGCTCTGCATACATCTCACAAGTAGCTCTGTCTCCCTCTCTGCTGGGTCTCTCTCTGAGTCCTTCTACAGGAGGGAGAGCAACAATGATTTCTGATGCTTCCTCTTTGCAAACTGTTTTTGCTGCTCTGGCTATGGACACATGTTGGACACCTTGTCAGGAACCAATCAGGATACTATTGTCCAGCCATTGTCCTTTTAGTTCAAAACCTATCAGCTCCATGTCTTTACTTTCACTGTTCCAGGCAAAGGCAACGTTGTATAGAACACATGCTCCAATCAACATGATCTTTTAAAGATACTGTACAGCCACCTCTTCCAACAATCTCCCTAGTTCCAAACAGGACCTTTCTTGTTGACTTGAAACATTAGCTTTCTCACTCTCCATGGATACTGCTTGACCTACTGTGATTTGCAGCATTTTTTTGTTTTCAGTACAGATTCCAGCATCTGCAGTAATTTGCTTGTAGAAATAAAAAGATGTAGTGCTTGCAATAGGGAATCTGTGTATTGCTGCCCTTCAGAGTTTTTACCGCCCCCCTGCCATTTTATTGGGATTTTGAATTGTCCTCTCCACCGGGACTGTCTCTGCACACACCTACCCCACCACCACCCCTCCCCAACCCTGTCCAAAACCCTCTACTGGGACTCTGTCCACACCCTCCCCTCTATCAGATCTCTGCATCTCTGATGGGACCCTACCTTGCTTTATCTGTAGATTATTTGCCTGTCTTGCTTTAGGGAGTCTTTCTCTCAATCTAGCCACACTCAGTATTTTGTTTTTGCCTGTGTATGTTTCTGTCTGTCTCTTTTTGCCTGAGACCTCTAAGCAAGTTCCTGTCGGGACTCTCGTTTATTTGTATTGGCACTGTGACTCTCTTGCAGTAGGCTTTATCTTTTCAGAATTCACTCTTACTGTACAGGGACCTCTGAGTTTCTCCCTTTAGGAACTGTGTACACTCTCTTGGAATGTTTATGTTCCTCAAGGATGTATTTGTGATTCTCTCTCTCTCTCTCTCCTGAAAGTGGGTATGCCGTCATCTCTCTGTATTTCTGTCAGCCCTCTCCTGTGCAAACATGTATGTGAGACACAAACCCAATCTTCGTGCTGTGTTGCAGGGACTCCCCTGAACTGAGGTTGGATGAACTTCGACCTTTTGTCGTTCCCTACTGGATCCTGGAGAAGATGCAGAAGTATATGCTGGCTGTACGAACAGAGAAGGAGTAGGAAGCCGGGACGAGCTGGGAACGGAGGGGGCACTAGGCGAGAAGCTTCTGTCTGTCCAGTGGTCTGATGAGCCTTCTTGAAGATTGGCTGCGGTTTCTATGACTGGTGTTTCCAAAAATGATACTTGGTCTGAGAGTGTTTTACTTGGCTCAAGATCTGCAAGCAGTCATGAAGCACTGAAGAGGCCAGAGTTGATTTTTGTCATGCTGTGTGAAATAATTAATGCCAATCTTGTTAAAAGGTGCCTCTATTCCTTTCACATGTTAAAACCTCTGACAGTCATTGAGATGTCCTTTTAAGCTTTGCAGGCATCTGGGCCATGGAGGGAACTGTCCCCCACAATAAGATGCCTGATCTTGGTGAAGTGAGCTATTGTTCACGTTCTGTGCTGCCCCGACTTCAGGATGGAATGCGATTGTGTCCTGGGCTCAAGGACTTAAAGCTAACATCTGTTTGACACAGCACACTGAAGCCATTGATGTGGGCCAGACTACTGAATTGTCCAGGGAGACACACTGACCTTGGCAATCCATACACAGGCCCAGATTGCTGTATGTGGAACACAGACAATACTTCAGCCTAACAATGAGTATCTTGCCTGTGTGTTTGTGCAGTGAGCACAGTTAAATGCATGCTTCAGTCAGCAGTATTGAGACCTCTGCTACTACTTGTGCTGAGTGTTTGGTTAACAGAATCCTTTCTCCAGATCAATGTGTTTAAACTTATTAATGTTCTCCCATTCTGCAGGGGTGGGGGGAGGTGAGGAGAGATTTACTGATAAGATAATTTGCAGCAGAATGCTGAACAATTATTCAGAACAACTTTACAGTTGTGTTACAAGTGTGAGAAGCCCCCCTCTGTCCTGCCATGTCTCTTCCATTCCTTGCCTTCTCTCCGGCACACTGACTCCCCTCGGCTTCATTCTCTGTCTGCTGTCACCTCCTTGCCCGTGCTCTCCCCTCGTTCCTCCCCGTCCGCCTGTGCTCTCCCCTCGCTCTCTTGAACCCACTCTCATAAAGTTACTATGTATTACCACTGGTACAGCTGGATAACATATCCTACAATGTATATGGATGTTATTCATTGTTAGCTAATGTGTTGATATCATATGGGTATCTGTCATTAGTTTATTGGGTGTGAGGAAGAAGAATTGAGTCAGCCCTAGAGCAAAAGGACTGTATCTAATTCCATGATGAATAATGACTCATCAGAGTAGTTGTTTAATTATATGATGTGTAATTAAAACATTAATTCTAGACCTGCCAACCCCAGGAACGCCAAACTCTGACTTTAACAAACCAAAGTCGTCCGTCAGTCACATTTGCTTTTTGTTGCTAAATGATTAACCTGTGAGAAAAGCTGTTAACTTATCAGGGTTTATATTATTTGTCAGTGTTATTGGAGATACCAGTATATCTGTCTCAGTGCTGCAGTTAAATGCAACATCTGCCAGCATGGGAGTAGCACTAGGTCATTATAGCTTTTTGATTTCTAAATTGTGCAAGGTTAGATATGCTGCCAGATTTTAGTGTTAAATATTCCCATGTGGTTGTGAAACAGAAATGTGGGAAATTAAATACAAGGTTCTGCCATGCCTTTGAATTAAAGTTTCCAATGTTGCAGAATTAGATCTTTATTGCACACTTGTCAACAATTAAATATTTTGTTCAAAAATTGTTTGGCTGTTACCTTCCCTTTAGAAGTGTGTGTGTGGATTCATTCCTGTATTTGTACAGTTCCTAGTGAACAAGTAAATTTAATTTGTAAAAGCTGATTTGATCAAAAAAAGTGAACGCATGTACGGTGTATATGCAGTTGGTGCAGGAGCAGGAGATCATGAGCTCACTGCTTTAGCTCTAAGCAACTGTCTTGGGCTAAAATTGTCCCCCACTCTCAATTCTAGGTTGCTGCACCTGTAACAGCCTCGCAGAGTAATTCTTTGACTACTTTCTCTAGCTTTCTTCACTATGTTAAAAGCAGTGAAGAGTGTAATTTTCTTGATGATGACACCCTGCCTCTCTAAAACATGGAACAAATGGAAACCTGCAAACAGGCTATTCAACTCAACCAGTCTGTCTTGGTATTTACTCGCCTGTGCAAACAAATGATCCAAATCACATTCAGCCATCTTGTTCTTATGCGCTTTCAAATTTTTTTCCTTTCCCACTGGTCTAATCTTTTTATTTATCTAAACTATTTTTCTAATCAACTTGTTCGGAAATGTTATTACCTCTTGAGCAGGTGGGACTTAAACCTAGATCTCTTGGTCCAGAGGTGGGGACACTACCACTGCACCGCAAGACGACCCTCTCATTGGTCTGGTCTAGTCTAGTATTGAATTGTAACAGTTTTCACCTGTTGAACTGCCAAGATATTTGCCTGGACATGACGCTCTGTTGATAGTTCACTTGCAAAATTTAATTGGAAAGGACTGCCTAGTGCGACCAATCACAGAGAGAAAAGTGGCCCTTTCAGATTTAACACCTCTTTCCTCACTCCTCCCAATCCTTCAGCCATGAGTAGGGGCTGGGTTTGAGGCCCAGGATAGCACAGATGGAGGTCTGGTGCCTTTCCAGTCAATATCAAGTTTGCCAGCACTGGAATAGTACTAAAGGTCAGGGATGACCGTGAATAGATGGGAGAAATTGGGATAGTTCTCCTGGAATCAAAGGTGCTGATGGTGGACGATATGATGGAGGTGTTTAAATGATCAAGAATGGAGATGGAATAAAGAAAGGCAGACTTTCCAGTTGCCGGAAGGTCAATACTCAGGACCCAGATTTAAGTTGATTGACAAAGAACATGAAGCGATGTGAGGATAACCCTATTTTGTGCTTTGTGTGGTTAGGTTTTGATAGGTTGTTACATTCAGATTCAATAGCAGGCCTTCAGATTGGAACTGGATAAGTATTTGAAAAAGAAATTTCAGGGATAAAAGGAAAGAGCAGGGTAATGAGATTAACTGGGTTGCTATTTGAGAGTGTCATCTTAAACTTTGGGTTGATTTGCATCTTTCTTTGTTGCAGTATTCTATGACAGTCTCCCAAAATTGGAATTCAGCCCGAAATGCTTCATTATGCTGACAGATCCAATGCTTTCCTGACCTGAAAGCCTTCCCTGCCATTGGTCCATTTTTGCTGTTGAACAGTACCACATAAATGAATACTTTGCAACATATTTCTAATCTCTGTGGCCCCTCCCATCCCCCACCCACCAAATAGGCCATTCCATCTTCTCCCAGAAGACAGACACTTGTAGTTTATTCTGTTGAAGACCAGCAGCCATTTTCCTGTTAGTGTTTATCCAGTGGAATTTGAGAATTTAATTCTCATTGCTCTCTCTCTGTCTCTTCCCCCACCCCACCCCCCCCCCGGCCACCTTCCTCTCCTGCCCCCCGTTAACCCTTCCTTCTACCTCTCTCTCCCCATTTTGTCTCCCTCCTTCCCCCCACTTCCTTTTCTCCCCTCCCGCCCTCTCTCCCTTTGTCTTTCTCCCCCTCCCAGCACTCCCATTCCTTCACACCCCCTCTCTCCCTCCTCCTCTCTATCCCCCACCTTTCCTTTGTTCTCGTCCTCCCCTTTCCCTCCATCTCCTTCCTCCTGTCCCCAATCTCCTCCGTCACCCCTTCTCACCCACATGCCCCTTGCCATGCTCCTGTTGTTTGTGGTCTCTGTACAATTAGCCTCTTGTGATACTTCATCCATGGTTATTTCTTCAGTTCTTATTGGTAGCTAGCTGATCTACTTCACCTCTTTCTTAGTCTAATCCAGTGTCTCCTGATTTTGTCTACCTATAATCATCTCACATGATTCCATTATACCCTGCAGTGTAAAAGAGACATAATAACTGGATTCTCTCGTGATGATAATGTGTCTCGATTTTCCTCCATGAATCTAGCATCATTCCTGATTGGTGGCAAATCACAGTGAGTGTCCCAGATCATCAGCCTGACAGATTACAACAAAAGAATGTTGACAACATTCCACATTTGTGAAGAGAGAGACAGTTAGCATTTCAGAGCTATGACCTCCATTAGAATTGGAGATTAAAGATGGTTTAAGCAGGAATTGAGCTATCAAAAGGGAATGGCGGAAACAAAAGGGATCATTGAGGAGGGGAAAATCCTTCTGCCCTTTCACCTGTAGTAAATATTTCTTTTCAGGTGCTTATTGTATTTCCTTCTGAAAACCACAGTTGAACCTGTGTCCAGCATACTGTTGGACAGTGCATTCCATAGACCTGAACTTTCCTCATGTTGTCGTTCTGCCAGTTACCCGAAAACAGGTCCTGTGTTTCTTGCTCCTGCCACGAATGGGAATTGTTTTTCCCCTGTTTACTCTGTCCAGACTCCTCATGGTCTCTATTAAAGTTCAACCTTCTCTTTGCTGAGGACCATAAACTCAGCTTGTGGAATTCGCCATTGTAACTGAAGTCCCTCCTCTTCTGTATCACTGAATTGTTACCTTGCAGGATAAGATTATTCAGCCAATTGTGTATGCACTAGCTTTCTATATTGTCTGCAGACTTTGAAATTGTCCCCTCCACTCCAAGATCTAAATCTTTAATACAAATAGCAAAATATGAACCCTGGGGAGCTCTACTACAAAGATTTCACCAGCCTGAAAAATGTCCATTAACCATTACATCCCATTTCCAAATTTTGTATTCATGATTTTACTGTGACTCTCATTCCATGAGCTGTCGGTTTTCTCAAGTTTGTTATGTAAGGCGGCATGGTGGCTTAGTAGTTAGCACTGCTACCTCACAGATCAAGGGACCTGGGTTTGATTCCACCCCCAGGTGACTGTCTGTGTGGAGTTTGCACATTTTCCCCATGTTTGTCAGGGTTTCCTCTGGGTGCTCTGGTTTCCTCTCATAGTCCAAAGATATGCAGGTTAGGTGGATTGGCTGTGCTAAATTGTCCCATAGTATCCAGGGATGTGCAGGTTAGGTGGATTAGCCATTGTAAGGATGGGGTTGTGTGTCTGGATGAGATGCTCTTTGGAGGGTCAGTGCAGACTCGATGGGCTGAATGGCTTCTATCACTGCTGTAGGTTTTCTATGATTGTATTGAATGCCTTTTGAAAGTGCATGTACACAACATCATTTACTATCACCTTCATCAACCCTCACTCTTAAATCTTCAAAAAAAAACACCAAGGTAGATAAACAAAACTTTCCCTTGAAAAGTCAATGCTAGCGACCCCTAGTTAACCCTCTTTTTTTTTTCCATGTCACTATGCACTCTACCCCAAGTTATTGATCCTAGAAATTTCCCCATTAACAAACTTAAACTGACAGGTTTCTAATTGTTGGGCTTATCCTTACAACCATTTTTGAATAAAGATGTCCTGTTTGCTTGACAGTCCTCTGGCACTACTTCCTAATCTTTTATGCACTCTTTCTAATGCCTTTGCATCATTCCTAAAATGTGGTGGTCAGAACTCTTGCAGATATTCCAGCTAAGACTGAATTAGTGTTCTGTAACCTCTCCTTGCTTTTGTGCTCCCTGCCTTTATTTATAAAGCTAGAATATGCCTCTTTAACCACTTCCTCGACCTGTTCTGCTACCATCCATAATCTTTGCGTGTGTACCCTCGGGTCTCTCTGCACCAGCATCCCCTTTAGAAAGGTGTCCTATGGTTTATATTACTCTCCCTGTTCTTCCTACTAAGATGGACAACTTCACATTTCTCTACATTAAACTTGATCTGCCACATGTTCAACCAATTCACCAGCCTGTCTGCATCCTCGTGAAGTCTATTACTATTCTTACCACAGGTCACTATAATTACTGGTATTGTGCTCTGCAAACCTAAGTCTAGGCCATATATATATGTGTATATATATCAAGGAATGTCCTTGGTTCTCGCACTGACCACTAAAAACCTTCCTCCCATTTCATAAACAACCATCCACCACTACGGTTTCCTGTCATGCAGGCGACTTGGTTTTAGTGATAGTAGGAACTGCAGATGCTGGAGAATCTGAGATAACAAGGTGTAGAGCTGGATGAACACAGCAGGCCGAGCAGCATC